AGATAAACAATGCTAATAATCATGAATTATCTAGCTCACAGAAGTACTCAGTAAAATACCACTTGGCACTAATGAGGAAAAGTCCCTTTGCGCCTCTTTACCCTTGTTCCTCTTCTTTGTCGTTTTGCAGCAGTGTACCCACTGCACTGGAGTAGTGAATACCCAAATTGTCCTCTTCTGTGGCCTTAAAATATTAGATGAACTTTCTCTTGCTTTGAATTCTGAGTGTTTTCTTCCTTTCTTTATCATAGGTGCTTTTGGACTTGACAGAAGTTACATGGGAAAATCCTTAAAAGGTATATATTTATGGTGCTAATTCTAGAGAAATCCATTTATTAGAATCATACACACACATATATAACTTTATAAAAATGAAGACTGAATTAATTTATTAAGCATGTGTTGCAGTGTAGAAAAAAGTGGGATTTTGAGTGTGGTAAATTAAACAAACCAATGAATATGTATGACAGTTAGGGAGGGAGACCATCGATGAATCTTGTCAGGCTTCATATTGCTGGGGAAACACTCTGTTTCCTTTAAGAAGAAAGTAATGGGAATTACGAAAAAAGAGAGAGAAGTATACCTGGAACTAGCAGCAGAAGTCAGAAGATATCAACCTGGTTCAATGTCGAAGGAGGCTCTCTCTTCAGGAGAGGTTTGAGTGATAGCTACTTATCGAGTCTTGGGCTTTTGAGTTAACACACTTGACTGCCAACCATAAGGATGGTGGTTTGAGTCCACCCACAGGTGCTTTGGAAGAAAGGCCTGGCAGTCTACTTTCCAAAACTCAGCCTTTGAGAACTCTAGACAGCGCAGTTCTATTCTGACACAGGCAGGGTCACCAGGGGTCAGCGTGACCTCCGTGCCACTGTCCCTGGTATCACAGACCCGTCTTCTCCTGCATAACAGAACCCTCCCGTGCCACCTGGGCTGGCATCAGCTGGGTCCATGGTTGAAGCCTTTAGGAAGTCAGAAGCTGTTGGTCAAATACCCAAAACCAAACGCACTGCCCTGGAGTCGATGCGGGTGCACGGTGGCCCTGTAGACAGAGTACAACTGCCCAGTGTGAATTTCTGAGACTGCAACTCTTTTCCGGAGTAGAAAGCCTGGTTTTCCCTGGAGGAGGGGTGGTGGTTTTTAAATGCAGACCATCTGGTTAGCAGCCCTACTGTAGCCACACCCCTACCAGGGCTCCTCACATTAGTAAAATAGAATGGAATGAATTATATTTGAATAGAATGATAAAGCTGAAATCAGATCTATGATGTGTACATTGGTACTTACTTGAGAAAGGAGCTAAAATTACTTCATCAGTGACTGGTTTTCTAACACAGTTTCTCCAGAGTAAGTGGAAAATACAAACATATAAGATACATATATTTAAATATTGTAACCTGCCCGAGCAAATGATCACCAAAAAAGGAATGGTGCAGGCAAGAAATAGCCTTTGCTCTTCCTCTCCTCTGCCTTCACAGACCTGGTAAAGAATTCTGAATATAATTCAAGTACCTGCTCCCTAAGCAGTTCTGAAAACCCATATGCCACTATTAAGGACCCGCCTATACTGATCCCCAAAGCCTCCGAGTGTGGCTATGTGGAGATGAAGTCCCCGGCACGGAGGGACTCCCCATATGCAGAGATCAATAACTCAACTTCAGCCAACAAGAACGTCTATGAAGTTGGTGAGTTCTCCCACCAAACAACCTAATGTACAGCAATTTTCCTTTGGGTTTCAAAACAATTTTAAAATATTTGTGAATGCAATATTTGTGATTCATTTAAACCTCATTGAAAATCATTTTGGGGGCATTCCACATGTGGATTGATTTTATCTATTTAATAATACTATGGCAGTCAGATGGACTTTTCAGGGAAAATGTCATCTAGAATAATTTAAGTTCTCCTTATCTCCCACCTGGCCATTCATCTTTGTTTTGTAACCATAGTGAAATGTTTTAGCACACACATGGAACAACATATGCATCATATTAACTAATATGTAAGTTAGCCAAAACAAATGGTGCAAGCGGACTAAA